ATAGAGGATCTGAGGAACATGATGGAATCCCAACATAGGAAACAAATGAAATCCATAAAACAGATGCAAACAGATTTCCAGGAGATTAAAAACTCCTATATAATCCTCTCTATAAATAGAGAGGTTCATTCAATGTGATCATCTAGTCAAGTATATAAATATGTGATAAAGACACAAAATGGCACAGATTATTTATTAAAAGAAAGCAGCAACTATTGCAAAGTGAAAAGTAACTATCTTCCTGTTTCTAAACAGACTGCACATTAAGCCAGCCAGGAGCACACCAATAGCACACTATGCAGAAGTGAGCAGACACAGATTGATGCCCACAGTGTGACACTGTGCAGAAAAATGTCCACCCTGGCTACAAGGTGATGGTGAGCAGCTACTTGCCATCGACATGGAGATAATAATCAGGCTGAAGACAGCCCACCAAGTCAGTGATTAAAATTTACCCTTTGGAAATGCCACAATCATCTCACAGGGAAGTGGAGGTTCAGAAATGTTCAAAACCATTAGAACAAACAAGAAAAGGAAACAGAAAAGGGTCTTAACATTTATACATTAACAAGGCAGAAACACATCCATCATTTGGTCCCATAGCAGTGAGGGTAGGGCAGCAGGCAGCTGTGGAAAGCTGGCCGTGTGGAGGTGCACACAGATACAAAAGGAAATGTGAGGATGTGTGGGTTATTAAGAAGAGGAAGGTGATCCTGGGGATATGATGGAGAAGTGTAACAGGTATAGGGATCCAGGGGATAGTGGAGGCATCTGGAGGGGTTGAGGATGGGATGGTTGAAGGGTGTGGTGGATGACGCAGGGCATAAGGGATGTGGGGACAGTGGAAGGCTAGTTGGGGACATGGGAATATGGTGATGTGTGGGTTGTATGTGGCAGGGTATGTATACTAGGGTGTACCTGTGCTATGCATGCAATAGAGGTGTATACATACATGTGTATGTATGTACACGTGTACACATGTCTGTGTACTTTTCTATTTATGTAATAGCACAAATGAGTGATTAATGTTAAATTTGCTTTTGATTTACAATGCCTTACCTTCAAATCACACTATATGCAATATGTATAACTGCCATTTGCATGTGGTAAAAATTCAAATTGAGCATGTTGATTACTACATTTGTGGAAATGTCCTCTCCTCTTTAAATAAATCAAGCTGACTTTCCTCAAAAATTCATGAAATCAATACTGGAGTAATCTAAGTATTTACAATCAGAAACCTTCACATACATTTGTTCCATAGGCATTTTGAGGACTCAGGGATAGATTACTAAAAGTGCAATCATTAGCATGTCATCACATTTCTTCTCGGAAATGACAGTCTTATTTCTAGGAGCATGAATTCTCTTCTTTATCAACCAGAATCCCACCAAACCAGGCATGGGTGGGAGTTAAAAATTGGAAAAAGCACACACAAATACACACAATTCCTTCCCAGGTCCCTACACAGTTTCCTCCTTGCTCTCAAAATTGCCCTGCCTTACCTTGTCCTTTTCTTTTTAACAAATGGTTGTATGTCTGAATGAACACCATCAACATTTCAGTAAGCATCATATTCCATTAAAACGGGCCTGATCTGGCTGACTCTCCAGGGACCATTTTCTCATCTAATGGTTATTTTAAATTTTCAGCCTATTTTGAAGAATAAGGTCAGCTTTTAACTAAAGTCAAACTTCTAACTTTTGGCCTACTCCTAAGAGAGCAGGTTAAAATGAACAGTTATTCTACAGAAGTTTCATTTTCTCTGCCTCTTTCAGTTCATTTGGCAGCATTGAGATCTGCATTATTTTCTCTTGCTCATTAACTCATATGAATAATACAACCTATACAAGAGCAATACATTTCTGAGCTTCTGATTTCAGAGGATTTTATTTTCACATTCTTACCTCTGAATTGTTAAGGTGGCATTTGTGAGTTCCTGAAAACCAGCCATCACTTGAACATTGGTCAATGTCCACTTTCTGAAGATTTATATCAACTTTCATGACACCCCTAAAAGTGAAAAAGATAAAAAGAACAAATTGAGCCTTTACAATTTCTAACTCTAGTCTATCCTGGAAATCAGCCAAACCAGCATAAAGAATGTACTAAAATTGTCCAGTCCTATTTAACTAAATTGTACCAAGTGAAGATATACAATAGAACAAAAACAAGAAATAGTTTTACATAAGTCCCCAAAACTGTGACTTGTATTGTTCACTGTCTTGAACTCCTTGTTTAATGCCTGATGTGTAATAGGTGCACAATAAATACTTACTAACTGACTGAAGCCCCAGCAGTATTGCTCAGGGCATGGTAGAAAACTGAACCCTAAAATAATACTTGCCCTCAAAACCCCTTTTATTAAAGAAAATCACAACTGAGCCCTCATCTCTTTTCTTTCTACTTCTACTTCCTGTTGGAGAACTGTGAACAAGAAGTTGAAGGAGGAGGAAAATGTCAGAAAACAAGCTTTTTTTCCTCTGATCTTCAATCACAATAACTTTATACACCTCTTTGGGCCTCTCAGCGTCCCATGCCAAGCCAGAGATTTACATCATCTATAGAAATGCTGATTAACATTCTTTTCTTTTAAATATCTAAACAAAAAGATGACATATCACTTACCCATTTGAGGAGCCATGAAGAAAGAGAATTCCCAAACTTACAGCCAAAAGCTGAATTGCCAAGAAAGGTTCAAATTCACCTAAAACTCCTCCACTTTCTCCACCCAATCTCTCTATATGTTCCTAAGATCTCTGTCTTCTATTTTTCAGCACCACCAGCACCACAAGCAGCAGCAGCAATCTGTCCCACACTGATTTGTTGCACCTGGACTTTATTGAAATAAGTATTTGTGTCTGGGACCCTGAAACCTGAAGCTTTATAATGCAGATTTTCAGAAACTTGAGTAAAGTATAAACACCTCACTAAAAACTAAGTAAAACATACTTTCATTTTAAGTTTGACACTCTCAAACTATTTTCATTATGACATTAGCTAAATATATAAAATATAAAAGAAGACCCAAATTGCTCATTTTAGCTCCTATAGCCCACCCAAAGCCCAACAAATAACAAAATAAATGCAAACAAAATTATAAAACTAACAAAAAGTAAAATATTAATTTAAGAAAATCAGTGATCAAGCTTTACCCATAATGAATCACCTTTCACAATAGGAATATGGTACTTCCATTTTATCACATCTTATGATTCTTTACTCCCATCTCTTTCTCCCTTTAAATTATTATGAAATCGTTCAATGGAAAGGCTTAGTGTCATTTGGGTTTCAGCTGGGGTGAATAAATCACACCTTTTTCCTCTGTTCTTTTCTTCAATCTGTGACAATATACTATGATACCTAGTGCTAACATACTCCAAACAGACACAGAAAACAAACTGGGATACTAAACCTCCTGCTAGCATTGGTTATCCAGATAATCTAGAATACACTTAAGCTATAATGGTTTAAACTTGATGTGTTCCCCAAAAGCTTATGTATTGAAGGCTTGCTGTCTACTGCAGCAATGGTCAGAGTAGGGCCAGAGAAGGGCCTGGACTGTGAGAGTGACAACCCCGTCCATGGACTAACCCATCCACCAGTCATAGCTGTTGGCTGCAGTTTGGGGAAGCAGGTCACTGGGGCTGCCCTAAAGTGTGTGTCTGGCCCTGCCCCTCCCCATTCTCTGCTTCCTGGATGACAGGAGGTGAGCAGCTTTGCTTCACCATGCCCTTTCCGGGGAATGTTCTGCTTTACTTCAGGCCCACAGCAATGGAAACAGTCAAGTGTGGCCTGAAACTGTGAGCCAAACTAAATCTTTCCTTCTTTAATTTGGGTATGTCAAGTATTTTGTCCCAGCAACAGAAAGTTAATTAACCCCAAGTTAATTTTTCAGATGATCGTTAAAATAAAAGCCCAAAAATTATCATAGAAAATGTGCAAATCCCCCAAAATAACATAATGCAGTTTGCAAAACACGACTGTGTGGACCAAAATGACACAACACACAAGTTCATGTGATCAACAACTGGATTCCCAAGTAACTTAATGCTTTAGCCCAGCTCACTCCTTTGCTCTTTCAACAAATATTTATTATCTGGTATGAGTGTATTCCGTGTAAGACATTCTATGGAGGATGCAAAGATGAACTTCACAGATCCTGCCCCTAAGCAAAACCAAAAGATACAAAACATTTTAAAAAGTATTAAGATTTCTAAAGGATAACGGAAGCTAAATCCATTGAGGAATTCATTCATTCACTTGTGGGAAATATAAAAGTTACCACTGGGGGGAAAGGAGGGATTCAATAAACAACTGTTGACTCGTTGATTGTTTTTACCACTTGGACTTTCAATAGAGGTATATTCCACATAGGTCATGCAGATCATCTAAGCCCATTTCTAATCCTACTTTATGCCCTTTAGAAAATAACATATTCTTTCCTTCATTTATTCAATAAAAATGTATCGAGTGCCTACAATGAGCCAGAACTGTTTGTGTAATTTGAAATGCACTAGTAAGAAGGGGGAAGAAAAAGCCTGCATTTGTAGAGCTTAATTCAGTATGAGTTGGAAAATAAACAATGATTATAATAAATAAGTAAAAGTGATTATGTTACAAACATTACACTATATGCTACAAAGGAAGAAGTGACATGGCGAGAAGGGGGTATAATCCTATAAAGGGGATGGGAATAGGATGAATTAAATTTTCTTTTAATAGTTGGCCAGAAAAACCCTGGCTGAGATGAGATCTCCAACACACCATGCTGCTCAGTAGATAATTATAGCACTGTATATTCACCTTCTCAATCACCAGTGTCAAAATTTCCCACTGGACTATTGTCCACCACAGTTGGATAGTCTTCCTTTGACTGCCTTATTTAGAAAGTGCTTCTAAGTAGTAAACTAATTAGCATATGCATTTCTGTTTGTGCCACAACCATTTGTAAAAATGAGGTCAAGTTTTCCTCAACTACCCTCAATACTGGCAGAGCTCTGTCTCAAGAGAATGGAAATCTCAACATCTTCCAGCTTACTCGGGAACATTGGCTACTTTAGGATTATAGGAAGCTGCAATTATTCTAGCCCCTTTCTGGAGAAAACTGGCTTCAGAACTGGGTCTCTTAATCCCTTAAATCTAAATTCGTATATGAAAACCAGAGTCACTAGCTTCACACTCAGCTTGTGAAACACTCCAGACTTGCACAAAATCACCACAGGTAATGAGCCATGCATTCACCAGCTGGGAATTCAGCGCTGACTCATCTTCATTAGCACCTTGTCTCGGTGCTCAGAGACCTAAAAGCCCTGGGGCAGGCACTTCAGACTTGGGGGTGGGATTTAGGGGATTAAGTGAGAAGAAAATGTTCCCTTCATGGTGAAAGATAATGTGCTACAGGAAACACAGAGACCCAAACACCTGTGGCCCCCCATGTGCAGACGTAGGGAAAGGCCCCCAGAGGCTCTGGGCACCAGCACCCTGATCCCCTGAGCTGACCCTCTGGGCCGGAAGTGCTGCTCCCACATCCAGTGAGTAGGTGCTGCTGGGAAGTCCCGAGAGTGAGGAAGTGGTTCCTGTTTTGAGGTTTCAAGACAGAATAGCAAGGGCTTAAGGAAGCCTGGTAAGTAGTCTCTAGAGAAAGGGAAATATAGCAAAGGCTATCCCCCAAACACCTGAGTGCCCAGCTGCTCTGTAGACTGCCATATGCTACTGTACTTGTCCACCAGAGGCCTGAAATGCAGCGAGGCCTGAAATACAGCAAGCCCAAAAGTAGACACATCCTTGGTGACTCATCTAATGTTCTTTACGAATTGGCCTCCAGATCAGGACAAATGCCAAATGCCTTTACTTGCTCCCTGTGTGCTTCTTGTACCTTGACCTTTCCTCTCCATTTCTGTGACAACTGCCATGATTCAGGCTTTCATATCCCATGGGACTAATTTCTTTTTACAATAGTTATTTGATTGTGGATGACACTGCTCCAGGTAAAGACACTAGTTTGTATCTTCTGAAGTTTACAAGGCTTAGGAAGCAAACACAGAATTATTACTACACATATAACAATATGACCTTTGGCCCTATGGCTTTGGGTTACAACTGGCTAGCTGGGTAAACACCAAGCACAGTATTACCAGAAGCCAATTCTATGCCACAATGGCCAGCAATAACTTAGCTATACTCAGAAGTGACTGTAAACTACTTTATTTGCTTGACTAATCCAGCCTAAATAATCCTGAATTTCCCCTTAGTTGGTTTCCAAAAATGCCCCCAAATTATTGAAAGTATAATAGAGACATGTTATAGTAGAAAGAGGCTGTTTCAGTTTAAAATACCTTATCTGGCCCCTCTCTAAAGCCTTGCATGAACTCCAAACCACTCCCATGTTCTCACTAGAACATAGCCCCCTTCATCTTGCTTAGCACACTATAATAGTCAACCTTTAGTGATCTGTTTTTCACTAGACTACATTTTCATGGTCTGTGTCTTTCTTTTGTAACATTTTTCCTTCAGTTTCTAAGTCTGCCCACCCCCTAAATGAACTTTAGAGAAATTTCAGTTACTAAAGACAAGCAAGGAGTAGCTAAAGTAACAATGCCCTCACACACACAAAAAGTGAGAGCGAGAAAATCCAAGCAAACTGAAAACATGTACTATTTTGGATGAAAAGATAGAAAGAGATACTAGGTAGATAGGAGGAAAGTGTTAAGATTCTGCTTTTCCCCCCATATTACTTTGAACATAATTTCCTGTTTCCATTGCTGAAAAAAAAATACTTAACAGTAATATCCATATAAGAAAATTGATGGGATACCAGGGAAATTCTAAAAGAAAGAATTGATGAAGACAGGTGCTAGTAGACCAGATGCGTGCGTTCATTCACCTCTAACAACAGACAGCCAAAATAGAATTTGGTGCCTAGAAATGGCTTGCTGCCATAACAAAAACCTGAAACATGTGGCACTGGCTTTGGGACCAGGCAGAGGCAGAAACTGAAAGGGCCTCAGTAA